GCTCCTTAACTGTAGCTATAAATGAGCACAGATACATTTTTGAGTGGCAGCAAGCAATTTTACACAAATCATACAGATAAGCAAAGCCACTAACAAGAAAAAAAAACTTTTTAAAATCATGATTAACTTAAATAGATTCTCAGAAGCAAATACATTTTTGTTTCAGAGTTTTATATTTCTTATCATTGTTTAAGGTAGCCTTTTCTGATCTATCCTGCCTATTGATCATTTAATGTTGGCAGAAATGGTGGCAGAGAGAACCCAGCTGCAGAGACTTTATGGGGCATGTGACTGCAGTGGTCCAGATAATTACAGCATTGAGGAGACAGAGGTCATAGTGGAGTCAGAAAAGTTCCCAAACTTAAGGGCTATGATCAGAAGTATGCAATCCTGTGCCTAGTAAGTACAGTGGTGCAGTGGCTGCTTTGTACATAACCAGCTTCTATTTATGTAAAATAGTAAAAATATCTCTCTCCGTATTTGTAGTGTTCTTCATGAGAAGATCCCGAAACACTGTATGTATATTAATTCCAGCACTGCCTTCATGAGACAGGTAATTGATAACTCTTCAATTTTTATGAAATTGGAACCAGGGAAGAGAGATATGAAGTGATATACAAAATTTGTACCTAAAAACTTTCACTTTTAACTGGACTTAGTAATCTATTTCTCCAAAGCTTAAGACCAACTTAAAAACGATAGAGTTTTGTCATACTCCAGATACTGAGTGATTCAAAACTCCAAGATCTTTGGCACGTAGTTTTCTTTACTTATTTATTTCAATTTTATAATTGAAATACCATTTTCCTGTAATTGTAAGCCTAATAACGTATTGATTCCAGTGAATATAACATACAAGACAGGTTGAATATGAATATGTGACAGGTTAGTTGTATCTTTATTTGTATGTTAAAACCGTAGGGTTTTTTTATTCCTGTGGCTTGTTTTTTGTTGTTAATCTCCAAAATCTTAGTGAATAGATCTTTCATTAAAATTAATATGTTTATACGTGGTGGTTAATAATACATAACATGCTGAAGAATGACAATTTGTTTGTTTCCTGTTGAAATAGGGTAAGCCAGGCGCATCAGACCTGTTTGTCAAGGTGATCCTTGTAAAACACAGAACACGTTCCTTGTTGTCCCTAGCCACAGTTGTGCCTTTTTTTTTTTTTTTGGAGGCAAGAACCCAGCTGATATAATTTGTATTTCCTATCCTCCGTATTACTTGCAGTTTCTCAGGGTCAGAAATCAGCTGATTGATTTTCTGTGTATTCTATGGCTTTGCCAGTGCATCTCTTGATAAAGTATTTTGTTACCGAGTTCATTATTTCTGTCTTTTATCACTCGTGGGGTCTCTTGAAAATTATCGTATACATCTGGGGATGCAGAATCTATATTTCTAAAAGGTAGAAATCAGCCAGCTGATTTTACCGACTTTCTTGACTTTCCTGACTGAATTCTTGATCATTAGTTTCAGTTTTGTTTTATTGTGATCACAATAATGATATAGCTGTCTCTTTGAGGAATTTGATTTGAAGACTGTAAATTTTTTCCTATAATAAACAAAAACTTTCTCACACTAGCTTCTATTTTAAGGCAATTATTAACTGCAAGGGGAAGGCCAAGACCAGCTTATCTCTAGCTTTTGAGGTGGCTGGTGTGTTGCTTCATATGCTAGTTTAAGGAGGTAATCACGAATGTTAATCAGATGAAAATTTGGCTCGCTATATTTGATTAATTTGCAAAGTCTAATTTCCCTTTGCAAGGAAAAATTTTAGAAGAAGGAAAGATAAAATGTCAGGACCCCAAAGAAAAAAAAATATTTAAAATATATACATAGATAGAAATGTAGGGGAGGCAAAGAATTTCCTCTTGCACTGTATACCTCTAATATGAATTTAAATTAAAAATTGTTTTCTCCACAGAGATTTTATTTTTTTCTATAATTAAGAAATTTAACATCACTAGGCTGTTTTCATTTTGCTGTGAGAGTTGGGAGATTCTTCCACATGTTTTTATAATTAGTATTCAAATGTGCCTCCTTCCTTGTTTTCCATATCCAATATACTATATTAAAATGCATGTGTTTCATGACCATATTTGTTGTATTACAAGCATCCTGTAGAGAAAGAACTTCCTGAGAAGAACAATGTGTAGTTTTAATGCCAAGTACATAAATCATCAGGCTGAAATCTCCTTGCTCTTGATAAATTAATTGAATGATGCTGGCAGGCTTCAGTTTGCGAATTACGTGCCATATAAATTCAAGTATAAAAAGACAAGTAGTTTAAAAAAAAAAAGACAAATCCTCACTAGAAAAGGCATGTATTTTCACAGAAATGAAAAAAACATACTTTCTTTACATCCGCTGAGAATTTGGACCACAAAAATAAATATATATATCCTTTGGAAGCAGATCATTGCGGTATGTCAGGTTCGGCTGATACACGCTTAATAACAGCACTGCTCCTAATCACTCTATTCTCTTGAAATGTAGTGGCCTGAAAGTATGGACAGTTTTGCTATGGTTTAGATAGAAATGCAAAGCAAATGATTCCTTTTGTTTCCTTTTTCAATGCCCGTTAAGTCCGTGATTCTGCATTTGGATCTGTAATGTTGGGATCTTTTGATTCCAATGAAATTATAGGACTTTAAATGTAGCATCAGGCATTAAATAAGGCGCGATAAGACAGAAGAGAAATTGCTAGGGAAGACAAGACTGAGCAGTAGGATAATTACTTGAAAATACTGAAACTATTAGTTTCTGAAACATACTTGCCTTGCTATCTTGCAACTTCTCCTCTCATGCCTTTTATTTGAGCATCATCTTGACATAGCGCAGTGCTTTCACAGCTCCAGTTCGGTGCTTTCTGTTACTCTTGTTAAATATCATAAGCACGTTTTCCATATAAAGAAGCTTTTGCACATACCCTGTTCTCAATTGACAGGGCGACCTTCTGCCTCTGTTCTGATATTCTCTGTGTGCTTTCCACCATGCAGCCCTAACACCATTCCTAGTTGTGTACATGAGAAACACTTGACAGTGACCTCACAGTGACTGCTCTAGCTGTAGGAGTCCAAGGATTCCAGGGACTCTAATTAAGGAAGTGAGATTTCTTCATTGTATACATTTTCATTAATAGTTTACTTCCCAGCTGTAGGTGTCATCTGGCTGGTGATGGTCCTTTGTGTATTTTTCCTGTGATTACTCACTCAAATGGAGCCATTGTCTAAAAGGCATACAGTGTCCATGACTGAGCTTTTAAAAAAATATGTGTACGTATTTTGTGCAAAAGTAAGATTTTTAAGGGAACTCTTTGAGAAACAAGTACTTACATGGAATATAACTTTCTTACTATTTTTGTAAATATCCTCTTTTCACTTTTTTATTCGTATTTGAAGATTATATTACCCCTGTTTTAAGAAAACTCTATGATCACTTAAGTCATAATATCAGAATGGGTGACTTTTAGGTGCCAGATGCAGTAATACTTGGCACACCCTTGGACAAACGTGCTTGTTTTTGAGGGTGCTGTAGAGACGCTATCTGAGAGTAGGAGACTCTCAGGATCATCAAGGGCCCTGGTACCCGAGAAGGTGGGTGGAAGGGAAAGAAGAGGAAGCAGTTTATCACAGATTGAGAAGTCAGAGCTGCAGCTGTGTAACTTTCAGTCATGCCAAGGCTTAGCGTGGACTCTAAGTACTATTTACCGAACCTTAATTGAGCAATGATTATGCATTTTTTTCCAAGTAGATACTTTTTATTTGACCCAAATGCAAGCTCAGGATCCGATTCTCAGCCAGGATAAATCAGACTAGCTCCATTAACTTCAGTGGAACTCAATCTTTTGCATCAGGTGGGAATGTAGATTTGAGAGCATGACTGCTGTGGGAAACTTGTTCAGAATAAGAAAAAATTCAGAAGAGAAACGCAAACATACTAGTCTAAAACACAATGCCGAAAAGTTGTATGTTAACAACTTTATATTCTTGCATAGGAGCAGCATCCTAAAACAATATTAGTAAACACTTTTGTGGCAAAAAAATCAAGACCGTAGACATTCTGCGGTATGACTGTAGACGTCCATGAAATCATGTGCTAGATTCTGTTGAATATCCTATTGGAACATAAATTTCTGACATTATTGGCCATCAGATCCAGTTCCCTGGAATTGCAGGCAGCCGCTTAGTAGATGCAGAATTCAGATCTGTGGTCTGCCCCTTCCCCGCAACGCAGATGTACTCCTCTAAGGGTTTTAAGACGTCAGAGCAACAGCTGTAATAAGCTTTTCAGTTTGCATCGTATTGTTAAAAGGCCAAGTTTTACATGTTACAACAATATACTATGAGCCTCAATTAAAAAAATAAACAACAGTATTAACTTGAACAAGTAGTCGTAAACACCAGAGCTTTCAATAGCAATTCCACAATATTTCGCGTATTACTGTAAAATATCGTGACATTGCAAGAGAATATTTAATTGTTGCAAAATAACAAAGTGGAAGAAAGTGTAGAAATTCATGAAGCGCATGAAAGTTCAGCTTGTGTTTCCTTGCATTCAATATCTATTTGTGCTTTATTTTAGAAAACTAACCCTACTTATGTTTAGCTGTAGCTGATACAGTAAAAGACGGGTTCTGCATGCTTGGACCTGTGAGTAAAAATTAAACCTTCCGTATTCCACTTCGGATGCTTTGAATGTATGAAAATCAAAGTTTAAGAACTTACAGAGTATGTCCTTAGTGAAATAGTCACCACGAGTGTGTGTTATTGCTGGCAAACATGACACTCAGAAATGTATTTAGCCTAGAGACAGCTGAATACAGCAGATAGAGGGTGAGGAAACAACTGTAATATTTCTCCTCTCCACTTCCATCTCAGCATGTATATAGAGGGAGGAAGAATTTGTCATCGGTCTTAACCGGTCCATCAATTGGCTGGCTTTGGTCCATGTGAAACATGGGAGGAGCATGCAGGAAGAGTGAAACACACACACATTCACAGTGAGGAAACAGCAGAAAAGAGTAATCTAATCTTCACCAGGCCAACTATTTTTTTTCTATTTATAAAAAGGAGGATCATTTTAATTTGTGTTCTTTAAAATAATTTTCTACTGGAATGGAACTTCTCTCTATAAAAGGTAGGTTTTTCTTAACAAGCAAGCTCTTTCACAAATGTGACAAATGTTTAGTAGGCAGCTGCAAAAAGCACCCTAGCAAACTGCAGATGTGGGCTGGTAAATAAAATGGGTGGGAATATTCCTTTCAGTGCTTCCTTCAAGGGAAGTCAAGCAAATGCAGTCTGTAAACTGCACGCTTACAGAGTGATTGAACTGCTGCAATGTTTAAAGTCTGCTAGTGGCTCAAGGGAGAGAGTTCAATGGCCTCTCCCCGTTTGCCTTGAAAGTGAAAGCTTTCTCAGAGCTCTGAGACATGATGGAACCATTCAAGTTGTTGGATAAACATCCTGCAAATGTGATAAAATTCCATAGAATGCTTAGGGATGTTTAGCGAGAGATGAAAGCAAGAATAAGGAAAAGAAGGAAGGTAGGTGATGTTAGGCAAGTGGGAAGGGAATCAGAAAGCAATGGCAGACTTTGGGGAACTTTACGGGGTAAAGTTGCAGACTGAGGGTTTTGCTATTTCTTTTCTTATTTATTGGCAATTACTAGGTCCTAAGTATAACAGTGAAATATATGGTATGCAAAAACGTATTCTTAGAGCAAGATTAATTTTTGTAGGATGACAGAAGCATTTCATTCGAATTAACCCAGCAACGTCTTAAATGCATTGATAGGGTAGGAAAATTTAAAGATTACCTTTTGTACAAATCTAAATTTCATGGACGTTAGTCATACACTTGATCCAAAACAACGACAAGATTAGATTTTGGTAACTGTTGACTGTTTGAGTCACAATACTATTAGCTTTGGGGCATTCTTCATCAGTGGAAATGACACCGCAGAGCGAAACTTAAATCTGTTAAAGTTACAATTTGGAATGTTCACTTTTCTGATGGGCACATTAAATATGTAGTAGTCAGTTATTTATATGATAGAAACAATTTTAGATTATCTGAAGTCAGCCTTCTGAGTGATCACTCTGCAACGCTATTATTGAAGATTTTTGAACTAGCTTTTTGAGATGATGGGTAGTATATCCTCCTCCCCAGTTACCTGGTCTCCATTTTGCCCTTTGTGTTGTAACCATGTACTTACTAAGTTTTTGCATTGTCTGTAGAACAGACACATGAGTAGGAATTGAATTTTTACCAGTTTATAAAATATAAAAATGATAGAATAATACAGTTGAGTGGATTCTGCAGTACAGTTTTAGGTTTTTTGGCTCTTAAAGGGATTTGAACAGAGTTATTTATCCCTTGCAGTGTATTGTCTGTGTGTGTGTGTCTTGTCTGTCTCTCTCTCCCTCTCCAGAGGCTTGTAACTTTTAGGAAGCTTTTTTTGTGAGGTGTGTGACTGTTAAGTAATTAGTATTGCTGATCAGCTAGAGTTCAGACAGTTTGCATCAACACCACTCACTCTTGCATTTGCATGAAACCACCTTAACTCAGGTGAATCTGTGTCTTGGAAGATAGCAGTCGTCTTAAAGCATCATGAGGCACAAAGAGGATATTCATACCATACTGTTATTCAGATGATCTTGCTTTCTTTTTTGAACTTGTAAAACGGAGTGGTTTGCATAAGGATCAGAGACCACAGCCTCTTTGGGCTGAAGAGTGAAGGAAATGCAAAGAAAGAAAACAGCATCATTGAGAGGAAGGTATACCTGTATACTTTGTCCAAGGCACAACTGTTGAAATGCAAAGCACAAGTTTAGAGTGACAGTACTGGCGTCCTCCTAAGTCGTAGGGTTTGCAGCCACATCATGCTGATAGTGATGTGCGCTGTCTTTTTGCAGTTTGACTTTTAGCTCTGTAATTGCACTTGTGTTTGATCTAGTAATGGAACTCTAGGTTGGAGTGAGAAATTTGCTCATTGCTTGCGTAGTCGTCTTTCAGCCATGGTGACGGGAAACACTAAATGTTAATGGAATGTTATAGCTCTTGTTTTAGCTTCTTGTCCGGCTGGCACAGAAGCGTTCAGCTTTCATGGTATTCATCTCTTTTCAGCTTATTATCAAACATCTCAGGATCGTAGCGTTCTATCTCTATTTCAAGAGCATATTAATTTTTATTTCATCTGCTCAGAATGAATAAATATTGATCCACTGACTTAAGAGGGAGCACGCTACTTTTTAATATTTCTTTGTGCATACCATCCTAGCAGTACAATTAATTGATTTTTTGGGAAACTCCATGTAGGCAAAAGCTTCAAGCCATGTACCATGTGGTATTTTATTCCCTATATATTTGTTGTCATACCCATCTTATGTTATTAGAATTATATGGCTTTCTGCTACTGTTATTACTGTTAAGGCAAAAGAATGAGCAACAGTAATGAGAATGATACTATTAGTCATAAACAGAATTATTTAAGTGGGGGAACTGGCAGACAGAGAACACAGATGTAATTATATTTACAGAGCAAGCATGTTTTTCTGGAAACCATTGTAAACAGGTCAAAATTAAATATCATGACTGTTTTTATACAGTCCCCCTTCATAAAAGGAGTTATCTCTAACCTAACCACTGGGAATTAACACTCTTTACAGGCAAAGCTGCCACTTGTAAGGTACTAAATTTAGCTTTCTTATTTTTGATGACAGCTCACCTCAGATTAGTAGCCATCACAACGTAGTATCTGGTCATCGTACTGGAAGTAGTGGCATTTGTGCAGTTGAATGAGTTATGCTACATAGGTTCCTAGGCACAACACAGGGATGTGGAAAATTCATTTTGGAACTGATTTCAGATCCCTTCTCTGCTATTCTTGTGCCTACAAAAAAATCAGTGAAGGCCAGATCCAGCAGAAGATTTTTGTGTCTAGAATGAAACTTCTGTATATTTGCCTCTTGGCCACAGAAGAATCTGAACTCCGTGGATCTCAAAATTTATGATATCTTAAGTATTTCAATGCATGCCCAGAGCTGCTGTATTCTTTAGGGGCTGAACAGCTCCCCCTCCACATTCAATTGAAATCTGTTCAGAATTCAGTAGCTGAGCAGTCTTCTGTCAAAGTACACTGAAGAGCTCTGCCTGCTAGGTATTATCTTCCCTTCGTATAATAGCTTGCTAGGTAGAACTGTCACTTAGGAGTAAGAGCTGAAAAATGGACTGTTTTACTAGCTTGTATTGGGTGTCCATTTAGCAGAAATGCAGGTTTGAGGAAGAAATGGCAAGCGTATGTAATACCCCCCTGCCCACAGTAATTTCACAACCTTCACATATTTTCATCTGAGAGTGATTTCTGATCCTGATGCATTTTTTTCTGTTTAGCAACCCCCCCACCCCCAGTGTATTCCCCTTCCAAATAGTCTTCAGTCTGCTCTAGAATTAATGTAAACTTGTGCCACCACATCCTTTGGGAAGGAGTGCCCCAAATTTACTCTCTATGGTTCAAGTCGCTTCAGGATATTTAAGTTTGTATCTTCCACATGCCAGAAGGAGGATACATGGTCCTGACAATTGTATGTGTATGTACATGTGTATATTTTTATTTTCTTCAGAATGGCAAAGGATGCATTTATATTATCATTGTACTTTTAAATTTGAAATTAATCTTGTGCTCTTCTCCAGTTAAACTTGGCTTGCATCACAAAGTAGTTTTGGAGGGACAAAAACTGTATTCTTTTCCAAGGAAACTCAACAGAAGGGTGTACTCCAGGAGTACACCTAATCTGCTTCAGCTATTTTTGAGCGTGCTGTCTATGGGACGACAGTACACAGAGTCTGAGGTAAAATCTCTGAAGCATATGTGGAATGAACACTCAGCACCACTGTTTTACTCTACAGATGCGCTCCAGTTGCACCACTTTGGTAACATAAATGTTTCTAATAACATTGTGAAGTCCATCTCCCACTTGCACACATCTCCTGCTTCCTCCTAAATGCTCTAACCGTTTGGGGGATCATTGTTTCTTATTTTGACTGGTTGATAGGGAGAAAACGTCAATGCAATACATACCCTATTTACAAACAATAAACACTGCACATGAAGCAATACTTGAACTTTTCATTTGCTGCTCGTGTCTGGTATAAATTACTACTGGAGCATGGTTTCCTATGTCATTCAAATTAATCCCTGTAATTTGATCACTATAATTATGACCAATATTTATGTAAGCTGCAAAGACTTCTCCACATTCTTCCTCTTCCCTGAAGACTTCTAAGGAATCATATTATCTTACTAAGATGTGAACAGCATTGTGATAAAAGAACTAATTTTCATTTATAAGGATGAGTCCTTAAAACTACTGAAATCCCTCTTTTTTTACTATATTGGCAAGAGTCATCAAAGTATTACTTGAATATAATCAATTACTTTTTTTTTTTTTACATAGTGAAAAAAGGAAAGTTGAATGAAGCAGCTGGTAAGTCTGATTTCTCTTTTAATTTCTGCTTTACATTTTTTTTCTTAGAAAAGAATGTATGTATCATGTTAAAGAATCGATTAAACCTAGGACTTCTAACACCCATTTCATCAAGAGTTCAGTGCAAAACAAATGAGGAAAGAAAATTGGGGGGGGGGAGGGAAATTAATGATGAAATCTAGGCTGTGGTTTCACACAATCTGTTATTTTCAGTTACTGGTTGTTATTGTCTCACAAATTAGTGCCATTTAAAGGATATTTCCATTAAAAGGAAATTTTACCTAATTTGATGGCCTAACTGCATCATGAGTCAAGAGAAATTTTGATTATGAACAGAATGCAGGGTTTTAGCATCACCAGGGTGAGGAGGAGATGGTGCCTGAGTTTCCGCAGTGAGGAAATACAGATGAGAGCCCATGTGTAATTGACTGACAGCTATATAGATGAGGTATAGGCCCTATGCAACAAACATGAGTGAAATCAAGCTTCCCAGGACTTTGCAGGTCTGCCTGGAGGAGCAACATTTAGCCAAAGGGTGGAGAAGAAAGGCCTTGTTTAGCCAGAGATTTCTCACACATAGATGATAAACTTACAGCCTTCAAGATCTATGTAGTTACTAGTTATCAGGAGAAGATGATATATCAACTAATCAATACAGGAAAATTTGCTAGTAGTTGTCTAGCCACTACATGTAAGTAACCCCTGCAAATTGTTTAAAGTTATCTGGATTAAAGAGAGGTTCTGGATTAAAGAGAGGTCACCTGAACCAGCACAGGTTAAGCTGCTTTCTTGGGACATGATTCTGCTAATTCTCTGCAAAGTATGGTCATTGTTAGTCAGACTGTGAAGTATAGATTGAAGGAATGTCTGTCTGTCTCTCTTCCCCCCTGCCCCTTTTCATTAAATTCTCTCTCCCTGAGAGAGATTTCACAGGGTTCAGTACATGTTTATATTTTGGCACTCAAGAGGTGATAATTTACAATAGATGCTTATCAACAGAATTGTTTGATACAAGTTAAATCACTTTTAATTGACCTTTGAATGTTGTATAGCATTTGTTAATACCATAAATAACAGGTAATGAAGTTTGAATGATATGTTCTGGTAATTGGCTATACTTTCTTGGGTCAGCTTCTTTGCACTGCCAGAGTAGGCTGAACAGCATACATTCTTGACACTTACTCTTTAAGGGGGTTATTTATAAAACAGAATTTCTAAGTTGTCTCTCTCACTCGATATAACTCACGAAATCTGAAGAAGAGGATGAATTAGTAGTAAAGTAGTGAAGGGGGACATCCAGATCCAGAGAAGAGCTGCCAAGGAGCAAGGAGCTCTTGGAGAAGCAGCAGTTTGAAAAGGCAGGTGACAAAACACCAGGAAATCAAAACAGTGATGATGCAGACAGACTGGAATCTCTTTAGATGTGCTCAGTTATGCTAGAAAGGGAGCTAGGAAAAGACAGAAGGTTTGAATGCTGGTATGATATGTTGTTGTGATGCAGGGCATGAAATTTTCAAATGTGAATGAAATGATGGAGTTGAATGTGAAGGTAATAGAGATTTTTTTCAGATACATGTTTTTAGTCTGTTTCATTGATCTGTATCTTGTCAGTCACAGTTGCATTTAAAGGAGATGAGTTTTAATTTTGTGTGAAGTTGTGTGGTTTTGAGTGGAAATTTGATATAGATGACGGTACTAAAAATGGCTGGAGTTAAACATAGTAGGTTTCAGGAAAGTGATTTAATGGTGATTTGTTTGGAAATTTAACAAATGTGAGTTGCAAGTCCTCAAACTAAAAACAAATTTTGCAACTAGAGAACGTTTTGCAGACTTCACTTCTTATTTTCTTCAGTTAACACAGAATGAGCAATGGGATAATATGTGAATTACACGTTGTTGACATTATTTATCACAAGTCATCAGACTTCCAAGTCTATGTTGACTTTGTCAATAGTTTATGCAGTGTAAGAGCAAAGGTACAGTGAATTATAAAAAACATTGATCACTTGTTTTAATTGAAACAAGTTGTTCCCATTACATAAGTTTTTAGTCTTTATGTCAAACATTATCATTAGTTGTAATCAGGGAAATCTACATACAGGATGCACAGGGGAACCTCAGGCTTTAAAAGGCAGTTAAAACTGCAGTGTAATTTGATACAACCTATTCAAGAGCTGCTTGTAGACAGCAGCAGCTCCCATCCTACTCAGTCGAGCTGACTGACCTGTGTGTGATACAGACAGCTCAAAAATGATTGTGTCCTTGGCCACATCTTATATGTATAGTATATTAAAAATTCTTCTTAAAAAAAGTCAATTTTAAAAAATGTCAGTGTTGATCCTAATAAAAGATGCTATAAGCTAATGTAGGATATGTTTCATGCGTGCAAGCTGAGAAGCTTTTCTGAACAGCTGCAGCCATCAAGACAATATAACATGCCCTTTGCTGCCTTAGATTCCTGTGTGAGCCCTACTCCTGTGTGAGCCCTACAGGGTGGAGCATTTCCTTAGTTCTTTCTTACTTTTTTTTAACCAATAATGTTTTTAAGCACTTTCAGAAATCTTCAGTTTTGTTTTTGTATGCTGATTAGGTCCAATTTTATGAATATTCTTACTGTGCATTTACAGAAACTACTGAGTTTAGCTGGGACAGCGTCTGAAGCGCAGTTTGCTCTTGGGCTTCTGTATATCAACAGAACTAAATTCATTCACAAAGGCATGAAAGAGCCTTATTGCTACCAGTCTGTGGCCTTGCCATAATTGGTCGTAAGCCCCAATTAGCCAGTCAGGAATACTGCTGTAGCTTTTGAAAGCGAAATAAATCCTAATTTGCAGAAGTGGAGTGTGTACCGGTGGCATGTAGTATCTGTCAACAGAGATGGATAAATAATCTGAGAAGCCATATCTCATAGCTGATCCCCAGAACGCTCACTCACATTTAGGATTATGCTCTCTTCCACCTGTGATATACAGAGATTCTTCTGTCATAATCCCATTAGAATTAATAAGGATTTTCTTGTTCAAATACACGGATTTGAGAGGCATCTCTAACTGTGTGGTATAGCGTTTAGAATTAAATCCCTACTCCTGTGGAGTTAAATGTGTCTAGTTTCTAGAAGAAATAGTAAAATAAACTAGGGATATAACTAAATGTGATGGTTACCTTTTTTTTCAGGTGCATTGCACACCTATGTTGTTTTAAAAGTCCAAAATTTGAAAAGCACTACAATAGACAGAAGAGGAAGTCAACCTTGCTGGGAACAGGACTTCATGTTGTAAGTAACAGGGAATTCTTACCAACTGGTTGTGTTGTGCCTTCACTGTATTTAAATGATTTAGAACAATTAATGACGTCTGGAACCAAATACAGCCTACAAAGGCAAGGAGAGAGTATCCAGCTCAGAAACGTCATCAAGCTAGTTCTAAAGACAGGAACAAAAGTCAGTTTTGCGGGTTATTCAGACGCATTGCAGACCAAGGCCAGCAGCCAGGAATGGAAATAAAATATTTCTCCAAGCTCTTTAATTTCATTTTATCTCCTAGGAATAAAGGAATGAGAGGCGAGAAACAGAACTCAGTTTTATCCTCATGCAACTCTATTTTTGTGTTAACTGATTTCCTTTATGTAAGATTCATGTTTTATCTATCCATTTAGGTAGTTTACTTATTACTGACCTGTACTGTTTCTCATCTCTGCCTGCAGATCCTTGTCCTCTTAACTCACCTCTCTATCTTGTTATCCATTCTTTGTTCTTTTTCTGTACTCGAGAGCCTTATGTACCCTTCATTGGCCAGGTAGGTGCAAGCACACACATACTGAATTACATTCTGAAGAATCCTGCTTTCAGCTGTCGTTTTCAAAGCAATTTAGAAGAATTAAATATTTAACCCCATTAGATGCTTTGATCTCTATTTTTCTTTTGGTCCCTCCCTCCACCTTTTTTGACCCCTCCCTTCTCCTGCACAAATCTTTCTCTGTTACCATATCTTCTTTGTGGAAACATAGGTTTTATTCCTGAGAACTAGGGTTGGTTAAAATATTTTACAGAATTAAACACTTAATTGGCTGTACTTATTGTTTGTTCAATACGCTTACTACAATTTTAAATCTAATTTAGTGTTTTTCCAAAAAATTGAATTTTGTTTTGAATCCATTTCCCCACTTTCTGATTATCAAAAACTAAAAAAAAAAAAAAATTTGACAGACTCTGCATTTGCAAAAACTAACATTTTGATTTGAATAAACCCCTCACATTTAATTCTCTGCTATAGTAATGGCTGCATTTCTAAAGTTTTCTCTCTTTTTTTTTCCTGCTTTACAGCTATTTCAGTAAATTAATTTTATTTCATGGTGCTATTGGTCTTCCTTTAAGTCCTCAGCTTCATCAGATTTTTTTTTCCCTAAAGTGACTAATTGAATTAAGACCTTTTCTAATGGCAAGCAGCTGGTTTCTTAGAGAGCTGCAGTGGACTATTAGCTTGCTTAATTGAAGACACTATTTAACTGAAGGGCCTGTTTCTTATTTACATTAAGTCAACATTTATATCTTCTTTACACTCTTATTTTATGTCTAGATATAAAGGAGGATCAGAGGTATTCAGAAAAGGCTAATATCAACCAAAGCTCAGCTTGGGCTCTTTCTGCCCCACCCCCAGTCATTGTGCTTCTCAAGCAGACTGTTCAGAGCCACAGCCTAAATTAGCCAGGCTGAAGGAGCCTGTCTCTCTTTGAGAGTGCTAAGGAAAATTAACCTCAGTATCAATAGCTAGCCTTCATAAATGCTATTCTCCCACTGCAGCTGTGAATTTTAGAGAACTTTATCAGGTTTTGGCATAGAAGAGTCACTGCTATATAACAATATAGTAAGACACTTTTTTAGCACCTTCCTGATCTAGACATAACAGTTTTAAAGACATTGGGGGGTTTGGGTGAGGATGTGATAGTATATCAGTCAGTAGATAATTAAATTTCAGCGTTTGCCCTATGTGTTACCTTTAGTGCAGGAGGCAATTAAAAATTATTTCAAAATAGGTGTGTAACCTGTCCTATCAATTTTTCTGAGGGACTCATTAAAACATTTAATAGATTTCCTTTTCTGCTCTGTAAGTGCTTTCCTTTAAATCATACTGTGCATAAATGAGTGTTCCATAACATCAATGAAAACCAGCAGTTTATTAAGATTATTTTCTTAGTTTGCAATGTAAATATTACCAAAGAATACTAAAGCACTTTTCTAGCATGCCCTAAAGTAAATAAATTCAGCTAAAAGTTGGAGGAAATATTTTTTTAGAGCCTGCTGTAGCTCCATCTACTGCTTACTCACCCATATAACAGGGCGGACTATTTAAAATGCATTGTAAGTAGGCGTTTACAAATACATTTATATAGACTTTTTACATGTTCAAGTCCATTTTCTTAAGGGCTTTCTCTACCTCTTTGCCTGTTACAATATATTTTGAGAGAAAAACTGCTCCATTGACCACAAACAACCAACTTGCTTTTTTAAAAATACATATTGTTTAAGGTTTCAGTATACAGTTTTATTGTTCAGTTACCAATACATCAATATTAAAGATGGAGTCCAGAATTATCTGAAGATAGAAATTTACAATCTGTCTTCCTTTATGTATTTGTAAAGGGAGAAGTTGAACAAAAAATTTTTGTATTCACTCTAGCTATTTAAGTGCACAAGTACAGTGGTGTGAAAAAACTTGAGCCATCCAACACAGTGCTTTTTCGAGAGAAACACGGGGAAGTTCGGTACCTACCTCAAAGGTAGCACCCTTTGCTTTTCTGAGATTTCACTTTTCCTTTTCTTGATAAAATTGAGTATACGCTAATTCACTGTGGTACAGCACACAAATCAGTTATTGATTAGCTTTCATACTTTAATCAAATGAAGATTACATATTACTGGTCCCAGTTGCAGACACCAATGCCTGCATTATTATATCTCATATTTACAGAACTGCTTTGTAACTGCTTATAATAATATGTAAAGATTGTCAGACATCTTGTGTGGAAATAACTTGCACTTCTCTGTTTGTTAGTTTTGTTTCCACATCACTGGTGAGCCATGCGGCCTAGCCAAAATTAGTTTTGAATTCCTGCAAAATAACGTTGTTGTGTGATTTTTGTGTTTGTGAACGTGCCATGGTCAAAAAACAGCTATTAGTAAAATGTTTATATTCCGTAAGTGAAACAAAAATAGTGTCTGCACAAGCAGCTCTTGACATCAAGAGCGATTTTCCCATTACAGTTTTTTTGTACTGTGCAGCTTCTCACTTCTAGTGAAGGGAATGAGCTTCAAACATCTTCTGCACCTTCTCTCCTTTACAGTGAGAACAAGGTTAGGAACTGCTTCAGTTTCCTGTAGGAACTCATCTGTTTGTTCCTTCTCTTGGGTTTTTGTGTGGAAAGATGCACGTTTTCCCATACCATTATAAATCATCTATAGCTAGTGGTCCATGCTGCTGCATGGCAGTATGTACCATCTTGGCCAGTGTTGCCAGCTCTTACAATTTCGTTGAAAACATTCGTCTGGGTTTTATGTTCAAAATGACTGTTCCTAGTTTTGTGGATTCCAGTTTCAGCTAACAGAAATCACCTGACAGAAGGGTGGCTGTATTGCATTACTCCTGTGGCTAATGAGTTAGCTGCAGTGAAACCTGAGAATGCCGGTCACTTCAGGCCTGTCCTGAGGAGACTGGTATCCTGTGGAGGCAATAGCAACTCCATATGGAGAAGCTGCTCGGAAGAACCTCAGCCAAATGCACTTCCTGGTCCTATCTTTCTGGATTATATCCAATAGGTCCAAGTCTTGTAGCAAAGTAAAGCTACTGATAACTGGGACTTCTGCACCACGTATTTCCAGCAGAATTGTTGCCCTCGTCAGTTTGCAGGAATCATCCTGACCGCTTGGTTCCTGAGACTTGGCTCATCTAGTCTCGTGTTTGTATCGTGACAGTTATTTCCCATTTTATGGGTTTACTGAAAACAAAACCACTGTGTTACAAATCACTGATTCAAGGTGTTATGAGAGAAGAGAGAGTAACTGAGACTGCGTTTACAGCTCAATGTTTCGTGTATTCATTGTTTCAAATCTCAGTGACTGATTTTTGTATTTATTTTTAGTGAAATCAGTGCTGATGAAAAGGGATTCATTCTAGAGCTGTGGAAGAAAGGCTTGCTCTGGGATAGCATTTTAGGCATTTTATGGATTCCCCTTGCAACTGTGGAACATGCAACAGATGTAAGTTGACTTTCTGTGGAAATATAAAAGACTTGAGGTGAAATCCCATGAACTTCTCATTCTTAGTCTCTAAAACTGCTGTCATGAGATGATTAATATAACATTCTGTCTTGCTTCATTTACACTGTGATACTGAGGCATAGTGCACGTGAGGCTCTTAAAGTGGCAGCTGATAGGCATTAGCCATATACCCTGGAGAAATGGCTCACGTACTGAATCAGGTATAATTCTGTAACTAGGTTAAAGTTCACATGCACTCACTAATTAGAAAAGCAGAGGCAGTTTGGTTTATGTGATGAGAGCAAGGGAACTTCAGATTGAGGTTCCTGGCCTGTATATTTGTCATGTGACCTTGGGTAATTCTTTAGTAAAACGGGCATAATACTGTTCTTGTGTCACTCGGGGGAATTGCCACTGCCTCAAAGAGGAAAAGAGAAATTTGTCCTATGATAATAAGGATGAAATTAATAGTACAATAGGTACAGGGAGAAGGATAGGTGGAGAAAACTGGTCAGTCTCAAGAACTACTTTGTGTCCGACATAGCCACAGTTAGCCACGAGAGTGCTCCACTGAGCAGGCATGCTTTCAGTCGGCCACTTGCACAAGTTATGTATATGGGGTGCTGGAAATACTGAAGCTACCTGCCAATGCTGTGAAACTGTATGAACTCAGGAAAAGTAAGGAAGTGCCTTACTATAGTACTCCACAGTTACCCATTCATGAATCTTCTTTACTCCACATAGTCTATGGGTTCTATTTGTAAAAAAGTAACTCTGAAGTAGAGGAGATGGATTTAATCTGGCACCTGATGCTCTGCCCCCCCCCACTTATTTTTGCAAATAAAAATATGTTCTAATCCCTATGCCCCTCTTTAAATGTCCTTTACAAAAAAAAAAGATAATTGAGGTGAAAGAGCGAATCAGGAAAACCCCTTCCTCCTACAGAATCCCCCATCGATCTCAATAGCCATTTCTTTATAGGGACTGATGATTATTCATATATATATTGATCTGACATTTTTTAAATTCTACTCAGAAAATGGAGATAGAGGAAGAAGGTAATTCCTGCTTAAATTAGAAGTTGCTCTGTACCACAGCTGCCAAGAGCTGTTTTGGGCCCTAAGGCAAGTTTTTTTTTTTTTTTTTGCCTCGCTATCCTAGCTGCTGTTGAGTTACAATTGCTGACACTGAGGTGGTGGCTTAATAGTTAACACTGGAACTGTAAACAAATAAAAGATGCAAGTCAGGGGGTTGCTTTCTAATTTCTTCAGACCCTCTGAGCCTTTATTTACAATTAGGCCACTGTGGAACTTTCCTAGTTATTGAGTTGCTTCAAAGCTATTTTTAGACTGGTTATTATCATACATTGATCACATCAGCCTTGCCAGGATGTGCTTGTTTGTCATCAGTTCAAGTTCCAGGGGAACTGGAAGATCTCAGCTCCTAAAAGAGAGTTATGTTCAATATTCATGTTTCGTACATCTTAATCATGTTAATGTGAATTTGTCTGTTTATGAATTTGTTGTAGAGCAAATTTTTTCACATACCATATCTGTGAAAACTTGAAGTCCTAGCAGCTACTGATGTCAATGAAAGTTGGAAGAGTCAAGAATGGATCCTAAGCCTATTGGTGTCATAAGGAGACTCCCCTTGACTTAAGGGGACCTTGATTCAGGAAAAAGTGGGTAATGCTATAAATCCTACCCAGGTAACTTTCAGAATATTTTTCATAGGAAGGCCCAGGTGCCTGGTGGACATTGCATTCTGAAGTCATAAAAAGTGGAAGCAAGATCTATGGCACTAAAACACCAACTTCACATCAGATCCTACTGGATGTCTACTTTGCACTACCATTTGGTGAGTTACAGATTGAGAAAGAATAAGAAGTGTCCATAAATATCATAAGCAAGAAATGAATGAAGAGGTCTCTCTTAACTCCAACTCTCCAGCCAGCCTGTACCAATTCCTGAAGTACAGTGTCAAACAGTAATAATTCTTGCATAGAATTTACTCATTATCAGAGCATTTGTATACTTGATACTGGTAAGTATTAAGAGAATCGCTGGGGGCCACTTGTAATGATGAACCGTTTCACAAGTTAATGTTCATATATGTGGATTGTAGAGCTAAAGAAAGACATATGCTTCCTCAAGGTTCTATTAGGTCTTCCGCATGTCTTATGACTCTAACATATCTTCTTTGACCAGCTATTTCCATATTGTAAGTTTTACTAAAAATCTAGTACTTCTTTTTTATCTTACTAGCAGTAGATATCTGCTTTTGTAGTGTATATGGGGATGGATAGCTGGATGTATGTATATAGAAATAATGTAGGTGGAAATGGAAACTGAAGATTTAATAATACTTTATTTCACATAATTCCCAGGTATCATTCTGTTTTGTCAGCAGCCACAAATAATTTTCAGTTGCCTGAATAAAGAGGTTTGCGTTTCCTTGCTAGTCACATATGCCTCCATCTGGATCATTCTGATTCTTTAAGCATGATGGAAAGTACACGTGTCAAATGGATTGAGTCCTTAAGAAAAAGAAAAAAAAAAAAAAAAGAATAAATCCTATTGGAATGAGGTTTCCTCCTTTTGTAATGGTTATTTTACTGTTACACAACCCATAAACTGTTATCCTTTTCTGTTGTGTCCTTTATAAAACTATTTCTGTGTACCATAAATTCTTGCTGGAATCTCCTTGGAATTAGGAGAATATTTTAAATGTCTCCTCAATAATTTTCATATATTGAAGCCTGATACATATCTATTAAAGAAATTTGCTCTGATTGTATGTTTACAAGTTGTAAATTCAAGATACTATTGATTTCAGATTGCTACTCAAAGGGAGTGTCAGTTTTGTACTCTAGTTCCAAATAAACTAATAAAGAAGTTTGAAGGAAGTAGTCTTTAAAGACCGTCCTTGAAACTGTCTGGAGTGTTTTGGAAAACCTGTAGAGGTCACTCTTACACTATAGTTCTGTGATCGTGGGAGGGTACAAAAAGCATTCAGTTTCAGGAACTGAGAAAGCCATGTATTTATCTTTACCATCTACCTGCTGTCTGGTTGAGGCGTTACGTTTTTATTGCATATTCTGTTGAATGGTTTTCAGCTCAGCTGAAACCAGCTGAAGATCTGTCCTTGGCTGCTGGAATCAGTACAACCTCTTTGTTAGGATGGCTTACATCAGTCAGTAGAAGTCGTCAGTTGCTTTTCACTGTTTCATGAAAGGTGCCCATTTGATAATGCCAGAGACTTTCATCTTCAGGAAAATATAATGCATCCAGTATAAATCTGAGAACCCCCCTATGCTGCTCTAACAATAGGGCTTTATTTGGTCTTGAAGCGCTACATGTATTACCAGAAGAGTGTTTCAGCATCATTAGTTTGTTCATGGATGCTTGTTTCTAAAAGTATCGGCTAACGCTGGCTGTGGTATTATTTCTGCAAAGTGGTCATTTCACCATTGACGTTTAAGCTGAACTCTGCTGAAAAGCTGTTAGATAATGAGGATTTGTATTTAAAGTTCTGCAGGCAAATTCACACCAGTACTACAGCTCATTTGCAAACACTTAATATTTCTAAAAGTCAAAATTTTAAAGGATAATCAGATTTCATGATTAAATATAATAATTTTGTTTCAAATGTATTAGGTCCTCCATGTAAGGTCATTCTTCTCTGTAAGAGAAGATGAAAATTTAAAGGACATTCCTTATGTTTTTATTAAAGCCCGTGTTAGAGGCCTACATCTTGCTCTTTTAACATTCATCAAATAATGAAATTATATACATTTCAGTGAATCCATTCACTGAATAGTAGGACATACACAGTTAGTAAAGCATAATATCTCATAAACCAGCATGGAGGTATGTATAGCTGAAAATACAGTGATGCTGCCAAATACTTGGAGCAATGGGACTGCCTGACCAGATCATGGAAGCATTAAATTTAAGACTTAGTGACTGTTGTTTATACTTCTTAAATTTGTTTTACAGGTTTACTGTGATTTTTGAAATGATGTTATGAAGGGCTTTAGATAATTTCTTATATTGAAGCACAGCAGATAAATATCTTCTACAGGTGTCTGGATTTTATTATGCTGGTAATAAAATTCATTGAATAACATCAAAAGGATACAATGAACATGAGAAGTAATAGTGGAAAAATATCTCTCAAGAACTTATTATCTAAATAGAATAAATCTTATTCCTGTCTTCGTGACTCATGTGTCTGATGAAGATCATTAAATGTAGATGACCTGATTCCACGTGTATATAAAGATCACTTTTACCGCTCTGGCATATAAAGAAACTTTCAAATGGGTCTAAAATGCATTTCATCGAAGATCTCTTTACACTTCCAGAGACAAATTTCATTTATAAGAATCTGGTGCAGAACTGCCTTTGGGGAGAGTTTTGTTCTAGTGGTACTCTTAAGTGGCTGTAAAATCTCTTAGAATTCATTCTGTTTGTTTCTTATTTTCTTTGAGAGGTTTGGTCTAATACTGTTAATTATTCAAGTGCAATGAAGCTTCGTAAAGCAAGAATGAGGAAATTCTTCCAGCTCCTTTGGAAAGTTCTTGAACCGCTGAAACAATCAATACTTGTCTTTTGTCTGAGATGCAGCAAAAGAGAACATGGCTATTTTCCTATCATCTTGTGTGTAGGTTGCCCACAGGGTAAAGGTTCTGTTCATGTTATCCTTTTACCATCAGATTTGTCTATGCAATTGCAAAAGTCTGATCTTTGATCTCATCTCATACCACAAGCAGGCTGTGAAGTAGAAAGTTGATCAGTGTAGGGGAGGAACAGTCCTTTGTTTTCAGAGTCATAAAGATAATTATACAAGAGGGGATATGAAAGAGTTGGGGGTGCGGATTTAAGCAAATGCAGAGGAATAGGTACAGCAGAAGAAAAATCAAGCATAATCAAGAGACAGAGCTAGACAGAACGTTAGGAGAGCCTAAAAAAAAGGAAAGAAAGACCAAATAGATCATTGAGGGAAGATGAAAGAAAAATATTTTATAATGTTTTTACAGTAAATTGTTTTTTCAGTATTTATTGCTCTTCCTCCTTATCAACATGTTTTATCTAGTTATTCATCACACAAAGGTACTCAGACTTGTTAAACTGTATGAAGCCTTCATGCTGTAAGGAAACAGAAATGTGCCCTGCATTAATGTTTCTTCTAGTTTTGTTTACAGCGGGAAACAGTTAAGTCAGAATTCTTACTGCACAGTGTTTCTGAAGAAAGATTCCAAACTTTTTATCAGATGTTTAAACTAAAATTTCTAGTCAAGGATTAATTTCCAGCCTTTATCTTTGAGCTTTATTTGTTTTTGGAGCAATATATGAAGAGCTCCGCTACCCACTGAGGTAAGAGTAGTGGCTAGTAACCATTCTGGGTTCAGGGAGACCTAGTGTGAGAAATTTGAGCTTTATAGATGACCCACAACAGCTAATTTATTTGCCAGGTAATCTTTAATTTTCCAGGATAGGAGGTAGCTTACTCCTTAAAGTTACCATGTGCTGCTTTTTGAAGTTTTTGTTATTTCCTAAGTACTTAGCTGTCTTTTGGAGACATGTTTGAAGAAAATACCCCTGTTCAAGATGGCAAATACTGAAATGAGAGGGAATGAGTTAAGAACTCATTAACTCTTTGCAGTTAGTTTGAAGGCTTCTAAACAGTACGGATGTCCGACAGAGAAAGCCAACAGACCTCATATGTGAAATAGAACATGCATGGTAACATAGCCAGTCATAAATAACCTTTGATAACAAACAAAAATCAATGAAGTCTTCATAATTATATTTTGCAATCTGCCACACCAACCAATAGCTATGGTTTATAAGGAAATATCCAGCATTTTTATTCCATCTTCTGGTAAAAATATATCTGAGTTACAGTAAATCTTATCCCAGTATCCATGCCGCCATCCCAGCATAGTTAGATAAGAGAGTAATGAACTAAGTAAAGACAGAAAATAAACTGCTGTCTTACTAATATAGATCCAGTACAGGTCCATCCAAGCTTTTTTTCCTAGCAGCTAGCACAGCAATATTGAGAAGGTGGCATGTAAGTAATGTTGTATTTGTCCTATGAGTAGAAACACAAACGTGAGTAAGGACTCACCAAGGTCAGTAAAACCTGACGTTCTCCTCAAGAGTTCAGTCTCTGAAACAGTCAACGTTATGTTTACAAACATAAAGCTTACCTATGGGGCAAAAGAGAAATGCTTAAGAGATGTTGCTCTTTCGATCAACAGGAGGTTATTGCTTCTATTTTTAGCAGTTGCACAGGGTTGAGTGATATAATACATATACGTGTTATGTTTCTTCTAGATTACTTTTAGATCAGTAGATGTGTACCCTAGTATACTCTTGGGACTTTGAGATCCCAGTTACGCAGGTGGTGGATCTGGCCAGAATATACTGCAGCTCCCTTTGGCACAGCATTTTTTCTCGTAAAAGTGGGATCATACATGCCCAGATCTAACCCCAATATGATGCAGTAATTGATACATAAAATTATAGTTTCCCTTAATGTGCATAAACATAGTTTTAAGATTTATCGTTGTAGGGTAGGAATAACCTTTGGCTTGCAGAGCACTTGGTTGTATTTTTGGGACAGGAAAGACCAACTGAAAAAGAAAATGATAATGTAAGAATAGATGGTTGAATTAACTCCATGGTAAAGAGATAAAATGCTGAGTACCTACAGTGTACCAAGCGTTTCTGTTCTAGTGTTATGCAAAGATGTATGTGGAATGTATTTGATAATAGCTGTCACTTTCAAAGTCAGTTTGACTTAGGAGTTAGGATCTTATTTTGCAAAGTAGCCTACTGGCTACAGGACTTTAATCTCATAAGTCATTTCGGAAAATACCATTCAGATATTCACCTCTTAGGCACGCTTGAAACTGGACTCATCATCATTTTGCCATATAGGCTAATCAGCAAACAGTGGTATAACATAGCATAAAAATGAAGTAATAACAGTGAGGCTAATTCTTGTTTCTTTACGAGACACCATGCTAATCCACTGGTACACAAAAAGAATAGCAAATGAGGGGAAAAAAGGAACCGTTCCCGTAGAATTTTGATCAGCATAAAACAAGGGCCTGAAAAATCATAGCAGAGTGATTAGGAAAGTTCATGCATCAAGATATAAAATTCAAAACACAAACACCTTAGTTTGTGCTATAATACATGTACATCTGAACAGTTTAAAAGTTAGCATTAACTTATGCAGTAGAGCATTAACTTAATATATAAATATATAAATAGAGCTTAACTTAAGCAGAAGATCATATTTTTTTCCAGAATGTTATCTTCAACTTATCTTTGTTTCACAGCAATGTTACTTTTATTCAAAGCAAAAGACAAGACATAAATTTAACTTTTTTAGCAGCTAACCACTCTGGCAGTTTGCCTAGGTAAACAGTCTGGGAGAAAATACATCAAAACATACTTCTTAGTATGTGACTGAAACATCAGATGTGGGAAGAAAGGAGCATCCGAATTCTTCAAATCAGTGTCAAAGAATATTTCCTCAGGCTCAGGGCCAGATTATGAATCCTTTCCTCTCACTGAATGTAACAGGCCAATTCATGGAGTAAAATGTTCCTCAGTAAATCAGTTTGTACCTCTTGACTGCAGATGAGACATTTCAGCTTCCTCCAGAGATAAGAACTTGAAATAGGGTCGGTTTTAGGCTGAGAGCAAGTGGAGTTGAAGTAGTAAACCTGATTCTTTACTGGAAAAAAATGCAGATAGGAATGTTGTGCACAGACACAAAAGAAATACATGGTCAGTTAACAACCGTAATGTGACTGGAAAATCAAGAGATCTGGTTTCTTCCCAGTCCAATAATAGTCCATTTTTCAATTGTGAAATGTTCCTAAGTTTATGCGACAAAAAGGAAGTGGTCTAGGGCTTTAAAAATTTTCAGAACAAAAATCAAGTTGGAACTCTGTAGCTGATGTTCTTGTAGGACGTGATTTAATTACGAAAGTATTTTGGAATCAACTTGATTAACTTCCTCTGATTAAGACAATTATTTGTGGATTTAATGTTTATGTCCTTAATTAGAAGTTCCTCCTGTAAAACAGCCTGAGTTCTAACAGTCTTTCCTTTCTCCACAGATACCCATGAAGATTTCGATTGTAGAGGCTGTCACAGAAGGGCTGCCCTCCAAGGTACAAGTTATTCACATCAAGATACACATGATAGTATGTCATCCATGGAAAACAAACTAAGGTATTTTAATCTGTCATTTCAAAAATGTATTGTAACACTTATTGCTTTTATTATTTCTGAATGATGTTCAATGATACATATACAAATATTTTGAGCAAGAATGTACCTGGAAATTTCATACACCTATAGAAACATAAAACATGTTTCCGTTATTATAATGGGATAGAGAATAAGAAATCTCCATATTCTCTTGAAAGAAAAAATCTGAAGAATACTATGTCTTGCCAAACCAATTAGCGTATCTGTGTGCCTCCTGAGAGAGAGATTATTGGTTGTCAGAAAAGGGGATTTTACAGACATACACAGAAGTATGTCTGTACAAAACATACAAGTACATACTTGTACAAAACAAGAACATACAATAGTACGTAGAAGTAAAACCAGACAAACATAGAAGTAAACCAGAAAGGATCTTTTTGGCAAATTCTTACAGAACAAAAGTATAATCCATTAATGATGCAAAAGAGAGAAAATATTTTAGAATCTTTTGTCGCAGATTGTTTTACGTATTCTTGCATACTGATGGCTTCAGAAGTACAAACCTGTGTTGATAAGATTGGTCAAAAATGGTGCGCGGTTGGTCCTTGTTTAAGGTGACGTTTTAAAAGGACGTTATTTTAAAGACAGTACAGCTATTTATTAGCTTTTGTATGTCTTTTAATGGCAGAGATGTGGTGAAGTAACTTTTCTCTCACATAATGAAACAGCTCACAGAACTGGAAGCC